CCTTCCATAGCAAGGCAGACATACATGACCTTTCTTCATCTCCGAGAATGCCTACCAATGAAGCCTCTCGAGTCACTCAGTGTTCCTTATTCCTTGGGGTACCTCTGCAAACAAATAACACCAAAGCAAAAGTATCTCATATCACCAGGGTAGAAAGCAAAAGTATCTCATATCATGCTTTCTCCATGTCCTTTCCTTTGTCCTTGTTCTTACCTGCAAAGACAAGGATAAAGAAAACAATATGCCGGAACCTCCACTCAAACCCAGGTAAGGAATTGACTACCTGGAACCTTGGCCTGGTTGCCTACCTAGCACCGCTCTCGAGTACTCGTCTTCCACTGCTGCTGTACTTCCAAAGAAGCTGCCACATCTTCCTGGAGAACATATAAGGCAAGTGAAAATGATACCTTGCAGCATGTGGAGACAACGTGCAAAAGAAACAAGCATAGAAGAATGCAGCCAGCACAGTCAACTCAGCAGAAGGAGTTTGAGCTGTGGAACTCGAGAAGATGCCATATTCTGCCAGAAGAATAAATAAGGCAAGGGAAAATGATACATTGAAGCATGTGGAGACAAGCACAACAAAGCACGTGCCGATTCATCCGCTACTTCTTCAAAATCAAAAGTATCTCATATCATCAGGGTTGCAATCACTATGGGTGGAGGACTCATTTTGACCCTCAAATTCTTGGGTTGACTCGCTAGGCGTTGTGGGCTGCACGTGCCGATTCACCACCCTTGAATCAAATCCTTAAAGATCAAGTCACAAACTGGAAGAAGAGCCCATCAATCTTGAAGATTATATCGTTGACCAAATTGCTCAGGTGTGAATTAGAAAGATTGAATAAAGCAACAAGTCGTCACCTTCACCTCGTGCTTGCTTGCCATGTGTTCAAGTCAACCTTCAAGAATCAAGCCTCGACGGCCCTTGAGGAAATCACAAGTCAGATTCAAGATCAAGCGTCTGCCACCCTTGAATCAAACCCAGTTCAAGAATAAGCTGTGGAAAGTCAACAACTGGAGGAATCCAGAAAATCCTCCAACCCAGTTCAAGATCAAAGCTGTGGAAAGTCAACAAGTGCAACAAAATACGTGCCGATTCATCCACTACCAAAGCCAAAGATCATCTACCACATGAAGCTCCTTGTGGTCCAAATTTCAACCTTCAAGATCAAGCCTCGACGGCCTTTGAAGAAATCTCAAGCCCAATTCAAGATCAAGCCTCGACGGCCTTTGAAGAAATCTCAAGCCCAATTCAAGATCAAGCCTCAACGGCCCTTGAAGAAATCTCAAGCCCAATTCAAGATCAAGCATCAACGGCTCTTGAAGAAATCTCCAACCCAATTCAAGATCAAGCCTCGATGGCCCCTGGATCGACTTCTACAGTAAGGGACTTCAAAACGCATCTCCTACACGTGACAAGCACATGTATACGACGCGCCTTGAAGTGGAGGCATTTGTAGACATCGAAATTTCGGTAAATAAATGTTGACCAATAAATCAAAGTTTCAACGCTCATGTATTACATGAATTTTACACGTAGCGTGTGTCTAAACAAAAAACGAAATAAGTTGGAAAAGTCATCAAACAGGACACGTGTCAACACCTGGCAGAAACAACTTATTTTATCTGGAATATTATATTCAAAATTAGGCCTTGGAAAATTCTATAAATAGAAGCCAATTTCATTCATTTCAAGAAACCAATTCATATTACACCTTGAAACTCTGAAGCTCTTAAACTTCGAATCTTTCAAGCATCCAGGTTCCCGAAGAATCAAGAAAGCCTTCTTCGTTCTTCGTTCATCGTTCTTCCAAGATCAAGCCCCGACGACCCCTTTGAAGAACTTCCACCAATTCAAGATCAAGCCCCAAAAGCCCTTGAAGAACTTCCACCAATTCAAGATCAAGCCCCGACGACCCTTGAAGAAAGTGTTCATCGTTTATAATCCGTTCATCCCGAAGAATCAAGAAAGCCTTCTTCGTTCTTCGTTCATCGTTCATCATTCTTCTAAGATCAAGCCCCAACGGCCCTTGGATCAACAATCATCCACCTTCAAGATCAAGCCCCGACGGCCCTTGAAGAAAGTGTTCATCGTTCATCATCCGTTCATCTTAAGATCAAGCCCCAACGACCATTTGGATCAACAACATCAACAAATCCACACATCCAACCGTTCTTCAAGATCAAGCCCAAAAGCCCTTGAAGATCTGTTCATCACTGTTCTTCAAGATCAAGCCCAAAAGCCCTCGAAGATCCGTTCATCACTGTTCTTCAAGATCAAGCCCAAAAGCCCTTGAAGATCCATCAATCACTGTTCTTCAAGATCAAGCCCAAAAGCCCTTGAAGATCTGTTCATCACCGTTATTCAAGATCAAGCCTCAACGGCCCTTGTAGAAACTTTCAACCGTTCATCCAAGATCAAGCCTCGACGGCCCTTGGATCAACAACATCCATAAATCAACACCTTACGGAGATCGAATCAGAGGATCAAATTTGAGAGAGATTGTAACCCAAAATCATCAAATACAAATATTATTTTGTGCACGTTGTTCTTGTCTCGTTCATTTTAGGAAATTTTCGTGTTCACAATGATGTCTCTGCAAAATCAAGTATCAAGTCCCACCACGTAAAACTACTATTCATTGCATCAAAATTAGCAAAAGAATCCGTAAAAAAAAATTCCTTCATGAAATTGTGTGAAAAATTGAAGTGCAAGCAAGCATTATAACATAAACAATTTGCCGAAGAAACTTTGAGAAACTATGGGACATCCATAGAACGAGGTGATAGAAGCTAGATGACATATATGAAATCTGTCTCTAACCAAATATGATGCCACTCCGTATCCCATGCATTAGGAATTGCCTTGATCACCCCAACAATCTCAGCAACAATTGCAATTGGATAAGAAAATGAGGAAGCAAACGCCCCTAAAAAAGGTCCATTGGAATCATGAAAAACACTACCACTACCCACATGACCATTTAGTTTACAAGACCCAGCTGTGTTAACCTTAATTCATCCAACAAGAGGCGGACGTCAAAACTTAGGTACAAAGCTAATAGCACCTAAAGAAAGGGATGAAATAACTGACAAAGAGAATATAGGAATTTAGAGCTTTTCGAGTGGAAAGTGTTCTTCAAGTATACGGGGATATGAAACTCAATATTGTGCTGTGATTGAAGAGCTTATTTGTTTTTTTTTCTTTTGTATATATGTAAGAACATGATTGTAGTGTGACCAATCTCATGAACTTGTTTAAATTTTCCTTGTTATAAATAATGGTCTCTCGATCTTATATGTAATTTTTGGTTTTGTTTGGATTGAGTTCAAGATTTTATTAAGAAGACGACATGATTACATCCACATGAACATTCAACAGAGATTAAAGCCATGGAGATGGAGACCCCTCTTCTAACAAGTACTCCTGAGCCACTTGTCGCACTTCCATGGCTAAACCCACACACAACTCCAAAAGAGAGATTTTTCTTTTTTTTGGCAATCCAAAAGAGATATTATATTCACAAACCTTAAATTACTTTCCTTATTATTTTTTTAAATTTTTAATATTTTAATAATTTTTATCAAGTGTTTAGTGGTGAGTAGAATATCAACAATATTAAAAAATAAAAATGTGTGCGAGGGAAGTAATTTGAGTGTGTGAATATAATATTTCTTTACAAAATAAAAAACTTCATTTTAATCCTTAAGAAAATGAGTTTTAGACTATAACCTTGTGTAAGATTAAAATTTGATTTTCATCCCTCATACATTTAATCATCTCATGTTATTAATTATATTTTGATTTTTTTTCTCTTTTTATTCCTAATTTTAATGTATTAATTACATTTAAATTTCATTTTGTTTCATTCATCATAAGACATATTGTTATAGACATTTAGGTAAACTAATTTTTTTATATAATATTTTCCGATACAATTTGTATGTACTTCATTTAGGCGCATTAATTCATTTGATATATTTTGGTATATCCATCAATACAAATATTTAGATACATTAATTCAATATAATACATTGCGGTATGTACATTTTGATACACACATTTCGGTATTGACATTTAGGTATATAATACATTTCAGTACATACATTTCAGTCCATACATTTAGGTATATAAATTTAGGTTGATTATAATATATTTCATTCCAAACATTTAGGTACAGACATTTCGGTATAAAGAAGTCAATTTAATATATGTCGGTATAGTCATTTATGTACTCTTATGCATTTAAGTATTTATGTGTCACTAATTTCTTTTAATATTTTCTCATTTAGGTTCATTTATAATTGAAAGAACCAATATGTGCATATTAATAAAATCAAAATTTTAATGTCGAGACATTAAATAATAAAAATAGAATATAAATTTTAATAAAAGTACACTTCAAGGGATTAATTTGAATATGTAATCTAACACCAATAATTTTTTTTTATATTTTAATCTTTTTCAAGGACTAACGTTCAAAAACCCATTTCCAAAAGATTGAAGGAGACCTCCTTTAACGATCCAACTAATAAAGAGTGACGTCACAAGACTAACTGATCATGTGCATATCGTCACTCCTATAATCTATTCACCCTGTAGATATCTTATAGAGTCCCTCGTGAGCAGGTGTGAATTGGTCAAAAATATTAGGGTCTAATCGACTATGATCAAACAACCTTACTGGAAGGCAAATCTTTCTTCTTTTTTATTTTTCGTTTTTATGTTTGGAAAAATAGAAAAGTACATCCACTTTTCTGCTAAATGATACTCATTCAAATTTAAATGCTTTGAAAATGGTTTAGGAATCTGTGATGATTTCTTGCCGATGTTGCAGAGCACCTCCGCACCCAAAGGCAAGTAAGTAGCTTTTCGATGCTCCCCACCCCTCTGTGGATTAAAATATAGTTTAAGAATATTATTAACTTTATCTCCAGTATATAAGAGTGCCTGTGTCACTATATGGTAGTATTGTTTTTTTATTTGTTTACAGTAACTTATAACTTGCAGGCCTCAAATTCGCCAACAGAGGAAGTCTTGAATTTCGGGTAAGCTCTTCTTGCACATATCTGTTTATTATTAAAGCCTTGATGTTGTGAAAAAGCTAGGACAGTAGGCAATGAGGTTATAAGGTATAATTATTTGTTTAGACTATTAAATTATGTATGCTAAAATTTGAATGATTAGTCATCAAATGTGCTTCATCTAGTTATCTCTAATACAGCATCATAATTTGATTAAAAAAATATATATATATATACATGGACTGAAATGTTTTCAATTTTTTTGGCTTGGTTGCCAAATCCACATATTTTCTTCTAAGTTTCTCCCTCCATATCGCCTAAAAAAATTTCTTCAAGTTATCCATCCTGATAACATTTTCGTATGAACTCCCATGAATAGTAGAAGTTTTTCTTAATCAAAATAAACTTTAGAGTAAATTGTAGCTATGGTCCCTGAACTTTACTCAAATTGGAGCAATGGTCCTTCAACTAAAAATCCATTACCATTGGTCCTTCAACTCATTAAAACGTGCAGCTATGGTCCCTCAACTAAAAATCCATTACCTTTGGTCCCTCAATTTTAATTCAACTGGAGAAATGGTCCATTAACTTTATCTCAATTGTAGCTATGATCCTTCAAACATAACTCGTTTTGACAAAATTTTTTACGTAGTTGACAAAAATGATCATAATTACACACTTTGATGAGTTGAGGGACCCTAATTAAATAAATGGTTATTCCAACATAACATATTTTGACAAAATTTTGAAGAAATTAATGAAAAGGACTATAGATACACATTTTGATAAGTTGAGGGACCAATGGTAATGAATTTTTAGTTGAGGGACCATTGCTCCAATTTGAGTAAAGTTCAGGGACCATTGCTACAATTTACTCTAAACTTTAACCATCCATGAATAATGATCATAATTAGATAGCGGATAATGTTTTTGTTCCTTCCATGGGGAACTTTTTTGCCCCAACCTCCCCCTCTTTTCTTATGATTAATATATCTATGTATGAACTTCGTAATCGGAACCGTTCACTATCATCATCTAAAGATCATGTATGCAACAAAAAAAAAATTATTCAATCTGGATATGATATACTTTTCATCTACCATAGGAGGGAAATGGATCATCTCCGATCCCTTCCTCTAAAATTATTATAACTTTTAAAGTGGGCCTCTGTTTGTAGCCGTTGAATCAGATTTCAACGACTCAGATCCCCGAACTTGATGGATTAGGAGGAAGGAATCCGGAGATGATCCTTTCCCCATAGGAGCAGGTGTGAATCAATTCACTTTTTTTTTTTTAAGTATTGTTATTGACACTTCAAAAAATTATCACGCACTCATTCTTTAATCTCACTTCAAAATGTATTAGATGACTCATTTTTAGTACCAATAATAACTCACTTTTCAATTTATAATCTTTCATCTCGCTTGTTTCTTCTCCATTGCTATGTTTGCACATATCCATAGTTTTGAAGCTTTTAGATTCATATTTACCGGTTAATGGAATGGTGCAGCCTTCTTCTTAAGAGCAACCCCGCCCTTGGAGCCCTCCCCCCAGGCAATCCACTATTTAATCCACCATGTGAACAGTAATTATCATATGCATTTTCACCGTTGCACTTGAATAGCCATGGCAATAGGCAATAAAATATTATTAATTTTTTTTTTACAAACTAATACTAAATAAATTTATTTGTAATTTCGGATAAGATATTTTAAATCGTTCTCGTTGCGCCACGTGTTATTTATCCAAAACGACATTTTTTAAAAAAAAATCAGATATTTTTTCGGATTTTTTACAATTTTAAAATTTTTTATTCAAATAATTAATCTCTGCCGTTGGATTTAAAAAAAAATTGAATTCCAACACTCCAGATTGTGCCACGTGTCACAACTGTAACCTTTCTTAATTTTAAAACTTTTTTTTTATTTATAAAGCATATTAATATCGATCGTTGATCTTAGATCGAACAGTTGATATTAAATAAGATTTTTTTTTACCGTTGAGATCCAACGGTCCAAGTTAAAGAGCCGTTGAGATCGAACGGACCGTGGGAAGCCACGTGGCTTCCCAACGATAACTTTTCTGTCTGAAAAATCGGTTGATTTTTTTGAAAAATGGTCCGGCAAAGCGCCCCCACACGCGAGTGGGGTGCACGCACCTGACAGAAAAAAAGAAAAAAAGGGTCAGCCGCCAGTGCTGGCATCACACCCACTCGAGCTGTCAACTCTTCACAGGCCCGGAGCTCGGGCTCCACCTCCGCTCGGGCTCCTTCAACGCTGGAGCAAGTTCATAGGGCCTCGAGCCCTTTCCTCTCCCCTATCCCCCGAGCAAGGTCCATGGGTGGACTTGCTCTAATATCTTTTAGAATAGTTTAGTTGTGTATATATGTTTAACTTTTCAATTAACCACTTAGATTTATTAATATATAGATAGTATTGATAATAGATTTTAATTATTGTGTTTCATCACCAAAAGGCTCCGTGTATTTAGGAGTGAACTGCTTTTATGATCCTAAATTATTGGAATACTTCTTCATATCCTCTTAAGATCAAATCTTCTGCATTTAAATAAGTGTGGTATTTCTATGGTCCCAATAAGTGTCTAACATATATTAAATTCATGTTAATAAAATTAAGAAAAGTTAAGATATTGAATACGTATCAGATACTTATTGAAACCACAGATATGCCAAATCCATTTTGAATGCAGAAGATTTGGTCTCAGAAGGTTGTGTTGAGCCAACTTGAGTACTTGGTGATGAAGTAAAGTGTTATGTCGCAATCCCAAAGGGACGTCACGTCATCTTGGTTTGTTAAATCAATTAATATTTTTTTTTAGACAATTGCCTGTAGAGACAAAAGATCAATTGTTGACCAATTTGTATAGAGGAACAATTCAATGATTTTTTAGTTTTTTTTATTGTCGAAAATTTGTTAGTTTTATTGGGTCTTATTTTTTTGGTTGTTGCAAAAAATATCAAGGTACCAAAAAATCTCTTTCTAGTGGAACATGACAACCCACTACGAGACTACAAGTTTATGACATTATTTTGCTCTATATTGCAAATATTACTATGTTTTATATTTTTCTCTCATACCAGTTTTTTTTTTTTTCTTCTCATCCCACGTTGATCCTAAAAAATATAAGGGTAAATAGAAGCAATTAATTCAATCTGACTAAATGCCCTCCTCATAAATATATAAAACAAAATTTACTTTCATTTTTTTGGCAAACAAAAATCTACTTTTTATAAGGAAAGGTAGATTACGTAGTTATGGAAACACGTCTTATTTTAACTTTTAGTAGAATTTTGTTTGTCTCTTGCATGTTTTGACTGGAAGCTTGAGATCTGAGAAGGAACACACATAGCATTTTTCATTGAAGCATATAGAGTGACCTATTTGTAGGAGAAAGACAGCTCGAAGTCTCAATCCCTCTGAAAATATTGATTTTAATTTGGATTAACTTGTACATATTGAGTCTATGGGAATGACTTACAATTTCATGTCTGATAAGATGATAGGTCGTAAACCTATATGCATTGTCATGTAAAGAAGTTAAAACATGCAGTGATTCAAGATAGGTCGGGGATGCCACAATGACGTACCAAACGTGTATAGCCTTTGCTTACCTTGATTGGGCTTTAGACTTTAGTCAGTCATCAATCAAATTGAAAGTATTTTCAATCTGTGGATTTTATCAACCTTCTATATTGTTCGAGTTGGTCACTTCCCATGATAGCATTGAGATTGACTTTGTAATTTTTTACCAGAATATATATATATATATATATATATATGTATGTATATATATATATGTATATATATATATATATATATATATATATGTATGTATCGTTTGAGTTGGTATTTCGTGATGCATGTTTTCTAAATTTTTGTCCGAACATCTTGGAATGTCAATAATGAATGAAATATTTTTTTTTATTATGGTGCCAGTGATCTATAATCCTCATCTATTAAAATCAGGACAATGCCGCCCAGGAAGAAAGTGGAACATAGCACCAATAAAGCTCCAGATGACATAGAAAGTGCCTGCAACTCAGTAGTACTAGTGACTTCGATGACAGAGCGGTTGAAAGGCTTGTCACCCCTGTCCCCTTACTGTTGTATCTACAAAGTTCCTGAGCGACTACGGTCTGTGAATAAGAAGGCCTACACACCTCAAGTAGTCTCAGTAGGCCCACTCCACTATGATAATAAAGACTTGTTATACATGGAAGAACACAAACAGAGGTACCTACAACAATTTCTACATCGGACTGGGGTAAGCTTGGAGGATTATGTGAAGAAAATAAAGGCCCAAGAAGAAAGACTGCGTGGTTGTTATGAAGGAAAAGCCAGTGAGTTTAAGAGTGATGTATTTGTAAGTATCATTTTAGTTGATGCCGCCTTCATGATTGAGCTCTTATTGAGGAACTTTTTCGAGGATTTGAGGGATGATAGTGACTGGATATTCAAGAAAACATGGATGTTGCAAAATATAGCGCCTGACATGATTTTACTTGAAAATCAGCTGCCATTTTTCATTCTTGAAGATCTTTTCGCAGATGTTAAATCTAAATGGCAAAAAGATGAGCTGCCTTCAATAACAGAGCTCTCTTACAAGTTCTTCCAGGAGACGGTGCGTTTACAGGGGGAAAAAGACAATTTGGAGTCTGTTTCGGAAGTAAACACTTTGTTGATTTGATAAGAACTTTACATCTACCATATTTGAAGAGCACACAAACTGGAGGGCCCACATCTTCTTGTACTCCTAAGGTTAAGCACTTCTGTGATCGTAGAAGAAGGTTTCTACCATCTCAAAAGTCACAAACTGAAAAGCCACTCCCAAGTACTCTAAATACACCAAGCGCTAAGAAGCTACACCAGGCTGGAGTCAAGTTTGAGATCAGTTCAAGCAAAAATTTGTTTGATATACAATTCGATAATCAAGGTATTCTGCAAATTCCACAAGTAGAAATAAACGATTACACGGAGCTTACACTCAGAAATCTCCTTGCATTTGAACAATGCCATTGCACGGAGAATCACATAAGCGATTATTTCTGCATCTTGGATGGTTTTGTAAACACCCCAATGGATGTAGATTTCCTTGTTGAGTATGGAATAATTGTGAATGCGCTCGGCGACAACAATAAGGTTTCTAGACTGATTAACAAGCTTTGCATCGGGGTTTCTTGGAACCACAAAAACTACTACTTTGCTGATCTTTCTAAGGAGCTGAACTACTACTGTCGTAAGCCGTGGAACAAATGGAAGGCAAGCTTGAAACAAAAGTATTTCAACACACCTTGGGCAATTATTTCTGTCATTGGAGCTGGTTTTGTCATCGTACTCGCTATCATACAAACAGTGTGTTCTATTATCTCTTCCATTCATTAGTCGTCTCCTTAATTCGCCGTTTTCTCCCTATCCTTTCCGTATTATTTGCTTCTTTTATTTGTTTGTCTGGTTGTTCCATATTGAGATTCATGTTTGGGTTGTACACATTGTAAGCCCTGTTGCTAATAAGAGCTGTACGGTCTGTTTTATGATTTGTACTTTATTTCTGCTTAATTTCTCATCTATAAAGTATTATGTCAAAAAAGTTGTTACAATTTCACCTGCAGGTAGTTAGGCCCATTGAAAAAGACAACTACACAGAGACAAACTTTCTCACCAGTGTGTATTCTAAGAAAACTTACGAAGATTTCCCTATTTTTCGTGAAAATGAGTTGACATTATTTTCTGCTCTTATACATCTGATCACATGAATTTTTTTTTAGTACAACGATAGCGTTAGTGGGTTAGATAGTTGTTAGGGACATTCGGTGGAGATCAAACCCGTATAATTGTTGAAAATATGCTTGGTGACAACAATCAGGTGTCTACTCTCTGACTACAACCGTGGCAAAGGTGTTGTGTTGGACAAAGAAAGATTTCATTTTGCTACTCTTTCATAGGAGCTCCACAACTACTACAAAAAGTCGTTGAACAAATGGAAGGCAAATCTGAAACATATTTCCACACACCTAGGACAACTATTTCTGTCCTTAACGCTATTTTTATCATCATACGCACTTTCATACAAATTGTGTGTGCAATTATTTCCGAGGTGATCGCTAAGCATCAATGTTAAGTTAGATTTGTCGAATATGGAGATACTGGTACAAATAAAGAAATGCCAGTCTATGTGGCATATCAACCATGGAAAAACACATCGTACAAGTGCCTAACTAAAACACAGTATCTAAATACGCTGGAGTAGGCATTAGTTTATCACTTATGCACAGAATATATATGTCACACGTCTCTCATGTTCAATAAATTTTTTGTTGGCCCTGAAAGGCACACTGCAGAATTGTTGCAGTCCGATTTAAAGACGTCTGTATAAAGTTAAGATCCCCGTGCAATGGAGGTTGGAGGCCGAGGAACAAGAAAGAGGCCTTCAAGCATCTGGACAACCTTAGTCATTGATGGCCTCAAAGACGTATCTTCCTGTATGCACCACAGTGCAACCATAATGGCTGTCTCTACCCTCTCGTCGCCTTTATTTATCCCTAGCTTCGTATCGAGGATGTCCTTCAGTTTTCCTTCTCCCAACGCCTTGAAGGCATAGGATGGAAAGTTTGACTTTGTTAAAATGCATGAAATAAACATGTTGGATGACTAGTGAAGTTAGGCTAGTCAACATTCTTTGTGTAAATTAGGCAAGTTAGGCAAGTTAGGAAATTAGGCAAGTGTTAGGCAAGTTAGGCAAGTTAGGCTTATGTCCTATTTCTTTTCCCTATATATAAGTTTCATCTTATAATTGTTAGAAGTATCAAATACACATCAAAATTCAATATGGTATCAGAGCTGTGATCTGGGAAAACCACAAAACACAAGCTCTAAGGCAGTCACGAGGTCAACCATTCCAGGCATGGCTTCTCATTCAAAATGGGAAAATCCCAACCACCCACTCTATCTCCACCACTCGGACCAACCTGGTGCAATACTCGTACCACAACCATTGGTGGAAGACAACTACAGCACATGGGTTCAATCCATGAGTATGGCCTTAACGGTCAAGAACAAACTTGGTTTTGTTGATGGGACAATCAACAAACCAAGTGAGGACAATTCTGAGGAGCTGCAGCAATGGAATCGCTGCAACAACTTGGTCAAGACATGGCTACTAGGCTCCATGTCAAAGGAGATTTCAGGGAGTGTCATCAACTACAAGGATGCTCGACAAATGTGGACCGATCTGCAGGAGAGGTTCTCACATGTGAATATAGTTCAGCTGTTCCATGTTGAGAACGAGATCCATGATTGCGTCCAAAGCAATATGAGTGTAAGTTCTTACTTCACTAAACTTAAAAGTTTATGGGATGAACGTGATACTTTGTGTTCCATTCCAGCATGCAGTTGTGGAACAAAGAATGAGATGAACTCATATGTTGAAACTCAGAAAACCATGAAGTTCCTTATGGGATTGAACGAATCGTATGCTACGGTTCGAAGCAATACTCTTCTTCTCGAACCACTGCCTACGGTGAACAAGGCATATGCGTTGGTCCTTCGACATGAACGCCAGACAGAGGTTTCCAATGGGAAGAGTACACAACCAGAGGCTGTTGTCTTTGCAGTGAAGAATTTGTCGCAAGAACCTACACCGGAAGACAAAGAGATGCGATGTGGAAAGTGCAATAGAACCAATCACATCACCAAAAACTGTCTTGCACATCTCAAGTGCACTTTTTGTGGATGGAAAGGTCACACCTTCGATTTCTGTCGAAAACGGAAAGCAGCCATAGAAACAGAAAGCAGTCGTCCTTTTTCTTCAAAAGGGAATCAAGTTTCACAAAGTAACAAGCAAGAGACGTTGCCCAATTTCCCGTTCTCTCAGCAGGATTGCAAGCAAATCCTTCAAATGTTGAACAAGAACAAATCATCATTTGCCAATCAAGTCGGTAATCATTCTAGTCATGAAGAACTTTCAGGTAAAGCCTTATCTTTTTCCTATAAAGGAACCGAAAGTATTTGGATCCTGGACAGTGGTGCCACGGATCACATAGTTTGCAGCCCTAGTCTCTTTACACACTCACGAGCAGTTGAAAATCATACAGTTGAACTGCCAAATGGTTCTGTTGCCAAAGTCACTCAAATTGGACAAGTTGTTTTCTCTCATAATCTTATCCTTGACAATGTCCTATGTGTGCCGTTCTTTAAATTAAATTTAATATCCATCAGTAAACTAGCCTATGATTCCTTATCTGTCACAATTTTCTTCACCCAATTTTGTGTCATTCAGGACCTTCGCTCGGGGAAGATGATTGGGATGGGAACTGAAAGGGAGGGACTCTACTACCTCGACTCATCAAGGAAAGGAACATGCAACAATATTCAAACCATCGCACCAAAGCTTTGGCACCAACGCCTAGGACACCCATCTCATAAAGCCACTTCGTTATTACCTTTCTTTAACAATAAAGCTTGTGATTTGGAAAAATGTTCAATTTGCCCATTGGCCAAACAAACACGATCACCCTTTCCTTTGAGCTCTATTTCTACCAAATAATGTTTTGAATTATTGCATATTGATATTTGGGGTGGTTATCAAGTTGCTTCTATTTCAGGTGCCAAGTATTTCCTTACCATCGTAGATGACTACACTAGAAGCACTTGGGTTCATTTGATGAAACATAAATCTGACACAAAAGACATTTTAGTCAAATTCATTCAAATGATTGAGACTCAATTCAATACCAGAGTTCAAATCATACGAAGTGACAATGGCCCTGAGTTTAAACTTGAGCAATTTTATGCTCTCAAAGGCATCATACATCAATCTAGTTGCGTCAACACACCACAACAAAATGGTGTTGCCGAACGTAAACACCGGCACTTGCTCAATGTTGCTCGGGCTTTGCTTTTTCAAGCTTGTTTGCCAAAACGTTTTTGGGGAGATGCAATCCTAACCTCAGCCTACCTTATCAATAGAACACCCACTCCACTTCTCCAAGGTAAAACACCCTACGAAAAACTGTTTCACAAAGCACCTAATTATTCTCATTTGAAGGTTTTCGGTAGCTTGTGTTTTGCTTTTACACATGCCCAAATGCCCTCTAAATTCGACCCTCGTGCAATCCAATGCATTTTTCTTGGGTATCCTTATGGTCAAAAGGGTTATAAATTGTTTGATATAAAACACAATAAGACTTTTGTTTCTAGGGATGTCGTATTTTTTGAAGATCATTTTCCATTCCAAAATTGTAACACTTCCGTTGCCCCGTCACCATCAAACACTACACCTATCCTGTTTGACTCGACCTCTCCCATAGAGTCGCATTCAAGCCTTGCACCAGCAGACATAAACACCACATCTCCCACACTTGCCGACATCACACCACCATCATCTCCTTTACCCTCTACAACTCCACCACCAGATACCTTATCCACACCTTCACCTACCATACACTCTTCCCCACCTCCAACCACTCCATCACCAGATCCACCCCCTCCACTCCGTCGTAGCACTCGACCAACCAAACCTTCCACATTTTTGCAGGACTTTCATGTTGAGGTGGCCCTCCCATCCCGTGTTGCACCCACATCTTCCACAAGCATGGTTCAGTCATCAGGTACATCTCACTCCCTATCTCGTTATTTATCCTATGACCATGTCTCCACCACTCACAAAACCTTTCTCACCACCCTCACCATTATCAAAGAACCCACCAGTTTTTCGCAGGCTGTTCAGGATCCAAAATGGCGTGACGCCATGCAAAAAGAGATTGCTGCCCTCCATGACAATCGCACTTGGACTCTTGTGCCCTTACCACCTCACAAACATCCCATAGGCTGCAAATGGATCTATAAGGTGAAGCTTAAACCTGACGGCAGTGTTGAACGCTACAAAGCCCGTCTCGTTGCTAAAGGCTATAGTCAAATTGAAGGGCTTGATTATCGGGAAACATTTGCTCCAGTTGCCAAGCTCACCACTGTCCGTGTCCTCCTCAGTATTGCCTCCATCCGTGGTTGGCATCTTCACCAACTTGATGTAAACAACGCATTTTTGCATGGTGACTTATACGAGGAGGTTTATATGTCCCTACCTCCTGGGTTCGGACGAAAGGGGGAGACACGAGTATGCAAATTACACAAATCCATTTATGGTTTAAAACAGGCCTCAAGACAGTGGTTTATCAAGCTGTCTAGTGCTCTCAAGACTGCTGGTTTTCATCAATCATGGTCAGATTACTCCTTGTTCGTCCGAAACTGTCAAGGCAGTTTCATGGCATTACTTGTGTATGTTGACGACGTGATACTTGCAGGTAACAATTTGAGAGAAATTGAAGAAACTAAACTCTTCCTTTCCCAACATTTTAAGCTAAAGGATTTGGGAAAAATCAAATATTTTTTGGGGATAGAAGTTGCAAGATCTAAACAAGGGATTGCCTTGTGCCAACGCAAATATGCGTTGGAGATACTAGAAGATGCTGGGTTCCTTGGTGCGAAGCCCTCACGATTGCCGATGGAACCAAACTTGTCCCTTACACAAACTAAAGGGACGCTCCTACATGATCCTTCTTCATACAGGAGACTCGTAGGGAGGCTAATTTACTTAACCATCACGAGGCCTGACCTGACTTACGTGGTTAATATGTTAAGCCAATTCATGGACAAGCCGTGACAACCACACCTTGATGCAGTGCATAAGGTTCTCAGATACATCAAACAATCTCCTGGCCAGGGAATTCTTTTGCCTTCTACAGGTTCACTACAGTTACAAGCTTTTTGTGATGCTGATTGGGCTCGGTGTAAAGACACTAGAAGGTCAATACCGGTTATTGTATCTTCCCTGGGCAAGCACCGATATCTTGGAAAACGAAGAAGCAAAGCACAATATCTCGTTCTAGTGCAGAGGCAGAATATCGCTCTATGGCTATCACCTGTTGTGAAGTTATATGGCTAAAGAACCTTTTGAAGGACTTACGAGTGAATCATGCACAACCAGTCACATTGTTTTGTGATAATCAAGCTGCCATGCACATTGCTTCGAACCCAGTGTTTCATGAACGAACGAAGCATATAGAGATCGACTGTCACTTAGTACGTGAGAAGATTCAGATGGGAATGGTGCAAACAGCTTACATACGAACCTCGAATCAACCTGCAGATTTGTTCACCAAACCACTAAGCTCGGCGCAATTTGAGGTCTTACTTAGCAAGTTGGGTGTCATTGACATCCACACTCCAACTTGAGGGGGAGTGTTAAAATGCATGAAATAAACATGTTGGATGACTAGTGAAGTTAGGCTAGTCAACATTCTTTGTGTAAATTAGGCAAGTTAGGCAAGTTAGAAAATTAGGCAAGTGTTAGGCAAGTTAGGCAAGTTAGGCTTATGTCCTATTTCTTTTCCCTATATATAAGTTTCATCTTGTAATTGTTAGAAGTATCAAATACACATCAAAATTCAATAGACTTTTCAAAAGTTTCTGTCCTGTCGTAGTTCTTTCTCCCACCAATGATCTCTGGCAACAACATTCCATAGTTATACACATCACTCATCTGATATGGGGGAGTTGGTGATTCACTCTGGTGCAAGGTAACCCCGGGTTCCTCTTAGCGTTGTGAAAACATGGCTCTGCCCCCTAGTCATTAGCTTTGCCAAACCAAAGTCGGCGACAGCTAGGTAATTTTTGTCGAGGAGAACATTTTCAGGTTTTATGTCACAGTGAACGATCTTTTGCAATCTTCATGGAGATAAGCTAGTCCTTTAGCTGTACACATTGCTATATTGAACCTTGTCCTCCCAATCCAACAGGGATTCTTTGTTGTATTTCATGAAAATCCATTTATCAAGGGAGCCATTTGCGCAGAAGCCCCTGAGCCAAACCAAGTGCAGATGATGGATGCTGCCAATGATGGTAACTTCGGCTTGAAACTCTTTCTGTCCCTGACCAATGCCTTCCAACTTCTTCACAGCAAGTCGAGTCCCATCTGGGAGAATCCCTTGGTAAACCGAAGCAAAACCTCTTTGCCCTAGCTTTACTGAGAAGTTATTAGTTGCAGTTTGAAGATCCTTGTAACTGAACGGAAGGGCTTCCCGGTCAAATTTTCAAAGAAATTTCCTTCTTGTGATGGCTCCGTAGGGGATTCTGGCGATTTTCTCTTCTTCCAGTAGTATCGGCATCCCACATAAAGTAAGCCACAAATAATTGCAAGTACTGTTGAGATGGCTATGATCATAACATAAGGGAAGCGTTTCTGGCTGCTTCTGCTCCCCAGTACCACTGCTTCCATCCCTCGAGACTTTAATATAAGAAACAAAGCCAGAGCCATTGTCAGAATTTTGAAAGCTACCTAATTTGTCAAACAGAACAATTTCTTGTACTGGTTTGGAGGAACAGAGCAACACACGAACAGTTGCCTAGGCAAGACGTTTGGCAACCGTTCAAATCAGTCTTCGAAAAAGGTGGAATATATCCCAACGCAAAATAATAGAGCCCGTCCCTAGCATTTACAAGCTCTGTAAACCCCTTGAAGGATCACATGAGGAGACAACCCCTGCCTTGCAATTTAGAACGCTAGCTGAGACGTGAAGGGCACTGGCACTTGTTACTAAAACATTCCAAGTAAGAATCACAAGGTTCTGGTGTGCTGCACGAATCGCTTGGTATTTTTGTTCCTGAAGGACCACTTGACCCTCTATTCTGAAGACTGTAGAAAGAGATAAATCCATCACTTCCTAAAACTGCAATCCATGTGGCATTTGCATCAATATTGCTCGAGAAAATAAATTGCCATAGCAACGCTTTGGATTGATCAAAGAACTTCCATGAATTTTTACTAATAGTTGTTGAAGTGACTACACCACCGTCTTTGTTGATTGTTTTACGGATTTCTTTCGCCATAGACCAATACGGCTGTGGTGTTTGGTAACCTGATGAAAGAACTAAGTCGCCATACTTGATTTGGAGAATATAACTCAAGTTGTTGGAGCTAGGATTGCTTACCAGCTTCATTCCTTCTGAAAATTCCTGGTTCCATAATAGGGTATCAGTTGGATGGCTAAAACTCTGCCAAACTACTCCACCGTCATCACCATGCAAATCCAAATTTCCAGAGTCCTGCAACTCTATTGCAAATCCTCTTTTGCCACCTGACACGCCCCGATCCCGATGTCCTCGTGACATCGGGATGATCACGTGCTGGCCGACACCCAAAGGGTGACGAAAGCCATTAATTTAAGTAAAAGCTCAAAAATAAGCTAAAACAGGCAGCAAGACTAGCCACAATAATACTACAAATTCAACTTCTAATTAATACCATTTGGATCAATGCATAATGTCAGAGCATACGTCTATTACAGAATACAAACAGAATTTAAGATAGAGATGTGCTATATTACAATAGATATCGAAGCAGAAGAAATATAACACTGGATCACTGGTAGGGAAATGCCTCGTAGCTTATATCGTAATCCTCGTTCGTAGGTCCTGAAGGGGGCGCAAAACAAACATGAGTGGACCAATTTGATATATATAATAAAACAGTTATCAACATACTAACCCCCAGGTTTATGAAAACATATATATCATGATCAAAATAGGTTTTTCGAAACCTAGCATGCCGTGCAATATCTCAAATTCATAACTTGTATAAGTAATAAACACTAGTGAATTGTCCGATAACCTGCAGGCCCCATGCCGGCTCCCCGTCTCTGAGCAGACAGTCAGAGGAAAATACACTACAGGCCCCATGCCGGCTCCCCGTCCCTGTGCTAAATAGCCAGAGGAAACACACTCCAGGCCCTATGCCAACACCAAACTGTCGCCTGGGACGGACCAGAATCTATCTCTACGTCCCGTAGCGGAAAGGACCACTAGGTAAGTACAAAACCATTGAACACATATATATTGAAAAACAACTTCGTAGTATAAAGTCATCCATCATCTATACTACAAAGAGGTGTTCTAAACATGTTCTAAATATCATATCGTCATCCATCGGATATTCTATAAGAACATGGGTTATAGGAAAAATAGTAATAATTCAATCTAGCCTCAGTAAGCATATTATATCATAAAGTATTTCATAAAACATAAGTATTAAATCATGCTTTTCATGTATGCATTTCTATTGTTAAAACATGCTTTTGAAGGGGTCCACTCACCGTACACCGATGGTGCAAAGCTATACTAAAAAGGTATCACGGAATCACCGTTAATAATTGCACCTATTCACATAAAGGAGTACCTTTGGTCAAACTCTATTCAAACGATTGAATTTGGGAAAACGGACTTCAAAAACGGGTCCAGGACGTCGAAATTAGCCTAGGAGAGGTCCTGAACGAAACCCCGAAAAGTCAACTAAAAAAAGTCAACGTTGACCGTTGACCGGTCAAAGGCAAAGGCAACGTTGACCGTTGACCGAGTCAACGTTGACCGTTGATCGAGTCAACAGTCAACAGTCAACTGGTCAGAGGTCAAAGTCAACTGGGCTTTGAATTTGGGTTGGGCCGAAAGGCCTTAAGGGTTTGGGTTGAAAACCCAACTCAGATTGGCCCAAGGCCTTTTCCTATAGCAGAAAATAAATAAAACCTGAAAAGGTTTTGGGTTTGGCTAATGGGCTTCGGCCCTAAATATAAACGGCCCGAGGGCCTTGGTCTTAACAAATAATTAAATAAAAACATATAAAAAGGAAATGGGTTTGGGCTTGGCTAGCCTCACCACACGGGCCTAAGGCCCGCATGTCCTTGAAACTGGCCTAGAAAGCCTGGCGTCGACGGGAAGAACCACCGGAGCTTCAACAGCTCCGGCCGACCACCATACATAACCTTAGACCCCGATCTAGGTACCAAAACGAAGAGCAAGACGAAGAGAGTGTTTTTATACCTTCATTTCGTCGTGGAACGGTCGGAGATGGTCGGAAAAAGCCCCGACACCCTCGGGATCGCCGGAGTTGGGTGTGCTTACACCCAGCTTCGATTCGTCCTAAAAACCTCAAAAATCACAAAATAACCTCCATTAAAACTCATTCACCAGATTTTAGAACGAAAAAGTGAAGGTTTGGAGCTTACCCAACCGGGAAATATAAAGGTTTCGCCGGAGTTCCTTTCCGGTTTCCTGGGGTTGCAGCACGGGACAGAGGGAGAGAAGAACGAGATGGTGCTTCCTCGCGCGGGGATATGGGTGCGTGCGTGCGTGCTGCTGCGGTGTAGAGAGATAGAAAGAAGTGAGAGATGAGAGAGAGCCGAGAGGGATAGAGACAGGAAAGACAAGAAACAGAAAAGAAGAAGAAAGAAGAAGGGATTCACGGGGGGGGGGGGACAGATAGAGAAGAAAGGGAAATTGTTAGGGAACTGCCACGTGGCAGCTTGAAAAGAAAGAAGGGATCCAATGTTTAGATCCTGATAGGGTAGTCCAAAAAGGGTAAAATTGATAGATTCAGAATATTTAAGGAACATTACACACATATAATTTTATAAATGGGGGCGGGTGTTACACCACCAGTATCTGCAGACCAAACCACACTTCCGTCGCTTTGCAAGAACACACCCCTCTTAGCATTAAACACAAATTTATCAGGATTTAAAACCGGGGAACCCCTACTCCCGGTCCAACCTACCCTCAAACTGTCCATGTGAACAATAAAAAGCAGAAATAATCGATCTTGGGGACTAATTTTGAATCTTTTGAAGCCAAAATTCGAACTGGTTAGATAAGAGAAACAACCCACCATTATCAATCCAATTTATCTGAGCACCTTGAAACGGCGGATTAATCGTGCCAAAATTTCTAATAAGGAGGCAAGTTTCGGAAGTGAGAAGAATAACAGAAAAAAAATATGAAGCCCGTGAAATGGTTCAATGAATGAAGTTCCGATCTCCCATTGCTTGCTACTATGAAATGTTGGTAGGATTTTAAAGTTCGGAGATTAAAGAGCAATACAACTAATCAAATCACAGAATCTAGAAGGCTCAGAAACTGAATCTGTCACATAATCCCCAGTTTTGTTCAAAAGGATCAAGACATAACCAAACAACACCAAAGAAAGCATATAAACTTTGCATGTCAAGCTGAGAGAGAGAGAGAGAAAGAAAGAGAGAGAAGAGGGGGAGGGGGGGAGTTACCAGTGAAAAGTAGCAGACAACTATGAGCCAGAGGAAGGATCAAGATGAAAATCCTTAAACTGGAGATGTGAGATTAAGAGACATGACAATGCAATGGAAGAAACAGACCAACATTTCAAGTTTACAGAAAGAAAAATGATACATTTTCAACTATACAAGTCTAAACTGAACCATTGGACGCGTACTTTTCTGCTGATATTTATATATGATTATATTGTTGTGATTGGCTCATATTTTGAGCTGGCAACAATGAAGTGCCTGTGTTTGCTTTCGATGGAAATATCACATGGTGTGAGCTGCATGAAAGTGGTAGACAATTGCTGCAAAGTAAAAACAAAAGTGAGTTTGCCTTTTAACTTTAGTAGCATTATGCAAGAAATGTGATGATGGCTTGGCCTTTATTTAATGCAAGGAAATGCTTGCATTAGGTGTGCTTGCCGAGTGAGAAGGCTTGCATCAGAAAGCATCCAAAGGGGGAGAGCATTCGATTTAACTCATATGTACTTGTACTGTTATTCTCAAAGTGAAAAACAATATCTCTCCGGGGACGTAGGTAGGATTTTTGCCGAACCTCGTAAATTTCTCAATGTCTTTATTTCTTGTATTTTATTCTGTTCAACTGTGATTTTGGTGAGGTTGTAATCTGAATCTCGGTTTCGCATTAACGAATGGGCCAAGGCACAACAATTGGTATCAGAACATCGTTGGGGGCTTTGGTTCGTTGGAGGTCCAGATTTGTAATCCACCATGGAATTTTCAGTTGAGTAGTTTAAAGGAAGAGGCGGTTTAACTCTTGGCAAATGTGAGTAATGGAAGCCTAAAGAAGAAGACATGTTCATGGGATGCTTGATCAACTGCGAAAGTTGATGTTGAGGAAGAAGACAAAGGCCTCTTTCTTCTTACCTCACTTCCAGATTCGTACAAGAACCTTGTGAAACTTTACTGCATGGAAAGATACAGTAAGTTTGGAGCAGGTGCAAGCTTTTTTGGTGTGGAATGATACACAAAGGAGACCATGGATGATGGTGGGCAAGAGACTGCTTAAGCTATTCAAGGTTGGAATCGTGGAAGAAAATTGGAAAGAGGATCTGAGAGAGACAGCAGGTTCAGATCCGGTTCCGGAGGCAAGGGTCCACAGTGCTACAGGTGCAAGTCCGGGTTGCAGTAATTTTGTGATGGAAGACTTCGAGTATGCCCTCTAGGTATTCGAAGCAACACTTCTCCTGGTGATGTATAGTCTCAAGTGTTGCAGGGGTTTTGTAGCAGGTGGAGTTATGGGATTCACAGGTGATGAGATGGTCCTAAAGGAGGAGAAGTGTGAGGAATGTTTGTCTGGCTCGACGGGTGTTGCTGGAAATGGGTGCACTGACAAGTTTCCAAGTTGCAGACAATGAAGAGGAGGAAAACCTGCTGGAGGAGACGAGGATGTGTCGAGATCCTGTCTGAAGCTAAATGATGATTTTAGCTTGCAGCAGCTGCACATGCATTGGCAGTGACTGAATCGGAACAGGACTAACGAGGTTGATTCAGGGTGTGCATGCTAGTACATAAGGCCAATGGGCTTTGGTGATGGGTGCAAGGTTTTTTGCACTGTGTATTCGCCAAGGTGGAGATTGTTGTGATTGGCTCATATTTTAAGCTGGCAACAATGAAGTGCATGTGTTTGCTTTCGGTGGAAATATCACATGGTGTGGGTTGCATGAAAGTGGTAGACAATTGCTGAAAAGTAAAAGCAAAAGTGAGTTTGCCTTTTAACTTTAGCAGCATTATGCAAGAAATGTGATGATGGCTTGGCCTTTATTTAATGCAAGGAAATGCTTGCATTAGGTGTGCTTGCCGAGTGAAAAGGCTTGCATCAGAGAGCATCCAAAGGGGGAGAGCATTCGGCTCTCCCATGGGAAACCATGGGCACGGGTGAGAGAAATCAAGAGAGCTAGAGTGAAAGGTCTCTGGTGAAAGAACTCTTGGGGTAGAGTGAGACTCTTGGGAAAATTCTATAAGTGGGTGTACAAAGGATTCGAGATTGGGTTATGTCGATTTAACTTATGTGTACTTGTACTGTTATTCTCATAGTGAAAAACAATATCTCTCCGGGGACGTAGGCAGGATTTTTGCCGAACCTCGTAAATTTCTCGGTATCCTTATTTCTTGTATTTTATTCTATTCAACTGTAATTTGGTGAGGTTGTAATATGAATCTTGGTTCCGCACTAACGAACGGGCCAAGGCACAACATATATGTCAATTTTGAAGAAGAAAAGAGATACATTTTATTGATCATCGTGTGTTTAATGACGTCTAGTCTTTCATTTTACTCGTTTAAGTTCTAATGAGTTTACACGTTCAAACTGTACAAATAAGAGTTAAATTTAAATTAATTGAAAAATGTTGTAAATATTATATGGATGGTCCACATGAATAGTTTGTTACTATTTATGCACAGTATTTTCACTATTCATTTGTGGAAAATTTGTAAAGTGAATAGTGCTTTCTTTTTCAATTTATATAAAGGAAGAAGAGGAGATGAAGTGAGAAGAGTTTACGGGAAAGGAAGAGAGGAAGGAAGGAAGAGGAAGAGAGAGAAGGAAGAGGAAGAGAGAGAATAGAGGAAGATAAGAGGAGATAATAGAGAGAGTTATCTTTGTACTCCTATTATTCTAAATTATAATGAAAGCACCACTGCTGCCCCGAGGACGTACTCCAGTCACACTGACTGTAGAGGAACCTCGTAAATTTTGTGTCTTGTTTCATTTATTCCACTGCATCCACAGTCGATTTTACAACACGTTATCAGCACGAGAAGCTCTCATGTCGGTGGAAAGCACTACTTACCTCTCACATCTATCGGCTGGAATCTCACAGATAAGAAAATCTTTTCATTTCATTCTCATATCTCTAAATGACTAATTTTCTTAAAAGTAAATATACATGTGGTTTATATAAGTATTGTCATTATTATTGGCAGAAAATCCGACGATCATATGAGCTTTGAAACTTCAACTTCCAGTGCTCATACAGAAACCATTCCTTCATAAAAGTTTTTCCTTATCCTCTCTCCCATAACATACCAAAATTCCAGAACCATCCAACGGTTAAATCATTCCATATCTTAGAAATAATACTACAGACTCAAAATCCGCAGAAAATTTGGCAGCCATGTAAATAGCCACTGAACTCCAACTTCCTGACATCCGATTGAAATACTTTCTTCTTGAAAGTTGTT